CCTCCCACCTCGTGGACAACACTCACCAAATTTTATGTTCATAAATTGGTCCAGGAGCTCTGTACTATTTTTACATTTCAGATTGGAGAGGAGTCCCAGAGACACAGGCATGTGCGGGAATGCGCGGACCGGGAGGGCAGGTCTTCCTGGAGCCTAAAGCCTCTGCCCGTCTCACTGCGACTCCCTTGTCTCTCCTCCACACTCAGGTGCCCTGGTGTTCTAGCATGTGAGTGTGCAAGGGCAGCCTCACTGGGGATGGGGCACACAGTCAGGAGTGGCAGGGAGGTCTGTGGCCTTGTGACCCGTCAGCAGGCCCGCCCCTGCTACTGAGGCCAAGGTCTCGGGTTCAGCCCCTCAACTGCCCCTCACTGCGACTGCAAGCCTCAGAAGGACTACACCCCACAAGTCCCACAGCTCTGCTGTGAGGCTGGGGGTGTGGGTGGGAAACAGAGTGAAGGCAGAGAGGCTGGCAAACAGTGCCCTGGTCCACCCCTGGCCGCCCCCAGGGAAGAGCAGAACAAGGTGACGGGTCAGCTCAAGGACAGTTGGAGTCTGGTTTTAGGTCTACCCGGTGCACGGTGCCATGAAGGCAGATCCAGCAGGTGTGCATGGGGAGGGACAGAGGGACGCCCTTCACATGCTCTGGCCTTGCCCAGACAGATGGGGGCAGGTGATAAGTCTGAGACTGTGCATCTGAGGACCAGTGTCGGACATACGGTCGTAGCGACTTCGGGTCAGAGAACCTAGGAAGAAGGTATTTATCAAGACTGACTTGAAAACAAAGGTGATAGAGACCTAAGTAAGCAAAGGGTACGCCTAGAACCACAATGAAGTCAGGACTTTCTCTGCAAGCCTCACACTCAAGCGGACCTCTACGCTGCCGGGTTCTCAGCAGTTCTGAGCTCTCCTGCCAGTCAGGCGCTGCCATGCTGCAGGCAGCCCAGGGGCTCAGCGGATCCCTGAGAAACCAAGATGCAGCTTAGCATTTTCTGAAGAACCTTCTGACACCATGTGGGAGCCGCCTGGCTGCAGACATCTCTCCAGGGATGGCCACTCAAGGCTGCACCATGAATTCTGTACCCAAACCTTCCCAACTGAACATGCACCCAGAGCAAGGTCCTGGGTAACGGACCCACCTGCAAGAAAGCAAAAAGTTCTGCAGAGCTGCTCACCGCGGAGGGCGGGGCAGCATCCCTTGTAGGCAGGTGTGGAGCTGGAGGGGACCTGCTCACTCCTCGTGATAGTCACAAATATTCCAAGCCCACAACAAAGCCAAGGGCCTTGTGCTTTCACCTTCCGTCAAATAATTGATCCAAAATCCACGGAGCTCTTAGCAAACTCCAAAGCAGGGCAACATAAAGCCCCAATCCCAAAGCAACACAGGCTGGAGAGAAGCAGCTGAGCCAGTTTGCTAGATTTTGCGTTCATTTGTTGCATTACCTGTGGGATGGGGGTAAGGCAGAAACCAGGGATGAATTAAGTCGGAGCTTTAGGTGAGAACCCCAGCAGATTCAGGCGAAGGGGGCGGTGGAAAGGGGGTCACAGAGGACATACTTGACATAAACCAAGCAAGATTCCAGCAAACCTCTCACGTTGTCCAACGGTTTCTTCCTGCAGAAAACGGATGAAGTGCTCCCAACTCCATGCTCCTTGGGGTAAGAATGTCTCTGGGGGTGCTTTCTGAGCTCCAGAAGAGCGACGTGATTTCAAAGAATGTAATCTTCCATGGGATCTTTAGGTTTTTTGACTGAGAAGATTCTGGACTTTGGGGAGGGAGAGGCGTTCAAAGGCCGCTTTAACTCATGGGCGGGAGAGTCACCTCAGGATGTCCTGTGGCAGTTTGTTTCTGTCAGTTGTTTCCAAGCAGGCAGTTGGGTCCTGAGCCCCTCGGGTCCAACACCAGGAGTGGGGCTCCCACACAGGCAAAGCCAGGGTGCTTTGCAAGATCGAACTCGTGCTGCAGTGCCTGCAGATAGCTTTACAGTGCTGACAACCCCCTGCACCACCAGGAAGGCCCGAAGAAGGTTTTTTATTTTTTGAGAAAAAGAGGAAGCTTTGCCCATGCAGGAGCATTAGATCACTTCCATTAGGATTTGGAAAATGCAGAAAATGGATCCCAGATGCTCACTGGTGGTCCCTCCCAAGAGTGAGAGCTGCTGCTTGCTCTGGGCCCATGTGCACAAGACTTAGCAGCCTGCAAGCCAAAGACTGGACCACAAGTCCCAAAAGCAAGTTTTACGGCGCGTGGACACACAATGGAGTGCAGGGAACCAGGCGCTCTTTGGCTGCCCGCACTCTGGCCGACATTTAAGAGGGCAGAAAAAGGAGCTGGCTGAGGGGCCCTTGTGCGGCTCACAGGGGTGCCAGGTGGTCTAGTTAACAGACAGCTGTGGATGTTTCCACTCTGGAAGCTTTTTTGTTCTCGAAATGGTTTCTGGGAAGCTCAGGTATGGCCAATGACCTTTCCAAAGGCCAGTGCTGGGGGTGGATGGTGACGGCGTGATGCCCCCTGGTGGATAATGTCCAGTACTTCCTCCAGCTCTCTTGGTCCCACCCCTACTTCCCACAACAGAACCCTGGAGTTGCAATATTCAGTCATGCTATTTAGCATCCATCACTGGAGCGCATCAAACAAGGCCCAGCCAGACACCGGGCAGACTTTGGGGGCACACCAGGGCTCTGCTCAGCCCTGACTCCCGCCATCTAATCTACGTCTCACCTAGCTAGGTACTAACATGCACATGGTAAAGATAAAGGGGCCTAGTGCTGGAAAAGCAAGTTCAAAAATGCACCCAAGACAACCCCCTCGGGAGGGCAGAGGCCAGGGTCAGGCCCCGCCAGGGCTGAAGGACTCCCATTTTTTAAGCAGTATTGTTGCCGTGAAAATTTTTGTAGGGGAGGCTGAGGAGCAGTCTGCTTTGGGGACACGAGGGCAGAGGATTTTGCCCCACGGGCATCAGGATTTGAGACATGAGCTCCTACTGGCTGTGGCACCTGCAGACACCTGTTCCTCCAGGAGAGCTGGCCAGGGGATCAGTTGCCAGAGCAAGAGCTGCCAGAGGAAATGGCGGGAAACCTTGAGAATGCCCTGAGCGCTGATTCCAAACTGCTTCCTAGAAATCAGAGATTTGGAGAACAAACATTCTCCTGTTTCTTGGGCATGGTGGTATCAGCACACAATTTCAACATCCTTGGGGAGATAGAGGAAGGATCGCAGGTGTTTACACAAGCTCTCACAAGACAGAGGGGAAAGTGGGGGCCATTTTTCCCACCAGGGTGGGGTGGCCTCAAGGAAGCACATGGCTGCCCTGGGGAATGGCCTAAGGCAACAGACAGGGCACTAAACCAATGTCATTCAGAAACTTTGTCACCAGCAATTCATTAAATGCACCTGACCATTCACGTGTGTGTGGAGGGAGGGGGGAATGGCATGCCCAGGTGACGGCATTGGGGACACTCACCACCAAAGAACACCTCTCCAGTCCACCTCTCCCCTCTAAACTCAGGAGTTTGAGCTTTAATTCGCTGGAGGTGTGGACAGGTATCTATCATCAGAGCACCTACTACGTGCCTCGCCCAGGCGTCTTAATTCAGGGGAGGGACGCCAGAGCGGCCAGGACCCCCGCGGCGGACGCACCTCCGTGCTGGTGACCCCGCTCTCCCGCTCGGCTCCTGCCTCTGCAGACACCCACGCGGCTTCAGACTCCCAGCCACAGCGAGGCTGAGAAGATCAAGGGAGCAGTCACAGCAGCCTTTTTAACTTTGGGAAAACCCAATGCTCACTTCACTCAAACCGCGCAAAGTGGTGCCACGACCCTTCCGCTCTCCACTCTCCAATTCAAAGAGCCACATCACATGCAGCCCGTAAGCTGCCCACCGCGCGGCTCGTCTAGTTCCCTTCCAGGCCCCCCATTCCCCACAGAAGGCAGTTCCGGCGGGGAGTCTGCACAAGATTACTCCGGGTTCAGCCTCTGTCCCGCTCTCCTGTCAGCCTAGAACGCGGCACGCAGGCCGTGGAGGGCGAGTCCTCCTGGGCGTGCTGGACTGGAGATCTGGAACCTGCGGGAGCTCAGGTGAGCTTCGCATCATCCAGGGCTCTCATTTCAGAGATGCAGAAAGAAACAAGTTCGGAGAGATGCCCCTTCCTCGAGGTGGTGAGACCCAGGGACAAAGTGAAGGCCACCCACAAGTCTGCCTGGGGGCCTGGCGGCGCCTAACTAGGAGGGAAATGCACAGAACCTACCAGAGCAGACCGGAATTCCTGCATTACAGGTGTAAGCACTTCTCGGGGCACACTGGCTCCCTGGGCGGCAGCGCCTCGGCCTGTGAAATGCAGAGCCTGCCGCACTGGCCATTGCCAATGTGCCTTTCGGGTCTGACACTGCCGTGACGCTGGAGGTTATGTGCAGTGTGGGCTCCGTGAACACATGTGCACATTCATGAGCACGGACGGAGGGCGCAAGTGGCAATCAACAGCATTGCCAGCCTCACTTTTTGCCCGCCCATCCCCCCGAGAGCCAGCTACAGACCCCCAGGTGTGGGTCAGACCCAGGCATCCTCCCGCCCACAGTGAGGACAGGGCCAGTCACGTGCTTTCCAGGAGCCACGGAGTGTCATTCAGTCCCCGGCTGGGAACGGCACGTCTGCGGCAGGCTGCAAGGTGGGGGCGCCCCGCCGGGGTCACGGGAAAAGGGACCCACGGCGGCGTCCCCTCCCAGGCCCCCCTCCCGCGACCCCCTCCCTGGCCGGCCGGGCAGCGCGTGCGGGGACTGGGAGCGGCCGCCCGGCTCCCGGCCCCGGCTGCGGACCGCACTAAGCCCTCCGGGGCGCGCGGCTCCCCAAACCCGCCACCGGCGGCCGGACGCCCCCGCGCACGTGGCAGCGCCAGGGGCGGGGTCCTAGAGCGCCCCGCCCCGCCCGCCCCCCGCCCCGCGGGCGCCAGGACCCCGCTCACCCCGCCGCCCCGGTTCCCCCGCCCGCGCCCCCGGCCCGCCACCCACCTGGCGAAACACTGCTCGCAGTGGTTGCCCCGCTCGCCGACCGCGAGCACGCAGGCGTAGGCCGGGCAGGAGAAGAGCAGCTCCCCCACCCGGAAGGGCCGCAGCGCCCGCAGCCCCCGGCCCTTGCCCGGGCTGCAGAAGCGCTCCAGGCCGCCGGCGCCCTCGGCCCTCATGGCGGCGGCGGCGCTGTGCTCCGAGCGCCGGCGCCCCGCGAGCGGAGCGGGAGCCGCGTCACGCGCGCGGCGGGGCGGGCTGGGAGCGCCCGGACGCCGCGGCCTCCCCTCCCCGGAAGGGCCGCGCCCGCCCCGCCCGGCCCGGCCCGCGCCAGGGGCCCCGGCCGCCCCGCGCGCTCCCGCTGCTTCCGGCGGGGGAGGCGGGGCGCAGGGCCGCGTCGCCCCGGGAGCCCCCTCGGCCAGCTCGGGCCCGGAGGATGCGTCACCTCCGGGAAAAGGGGCCGCAGGGGACGTTTCAAGAACTGAGTATTCAGGGGGTCACGGCCTTTCCAACTTGGGCATCTTTATACCTTGTGGGGAGCCTTCCTCGCCTGGGCCTCGCCGGCCCCGCGGGTGGAAGTTAAGCACATGGACGCAGAGTGCTGCTCTCCAAGGGGGCTCCCCGCAGGAGGCAGAGAGTGGAGTGGTGGTGGGGAGGGGGTCGGTGCCAGGCCGGGCCGGCCCTGCTAGGCTGAAACTCGCAGTGCCTTTGATTGCTCAGCCACTCAGCTAACTTATCTTCGAAATGTCAACGCGGCTGTGAGTCACGTAGGAGATTTAATACACCTCAAGCTTTGCAGAAGGGTGTCTAACACCTGGGTCCCAAGCACATGTCTGCTCTTAGCGTTGTTCCTATGAGAAGAAGGCAGTCGGCTGCTCCATACAGGACTGCAAAGGCTGGGTGGATGGGAGAACGTGAGCAGAAGATAAGGTATGATGCGGTTTGATCTCCGACATTGTTACCACGTCAATTCAGGACTGCTTCAGAAAGGAAAGATGAGTATGATTTGGAGTAGGTCATCAGGACAGCAGAATTTTTGACACAGCAATAAAATTCATAAAATGAGTATGCCTCTAGCCCCTGTAAAGAAATATTTTTATACTTTTTAAGACGTGTTGACTGAGCACCTACAATGCCAGTCACTGGGCAAAATGTAGCCCAGAGTTTTTGCATTCGGTGCATTTGTAACAGGGTGGTCCCCAGGAAAGGGGGAGGTTCCCTGCCCCACCCAAGGGAGGGTGGAGCTGAGCAGGAAGAAGAGAAGCTGCAGAAGAGACTGAGGAAGGAAGCAGGATGGAGCCAGGAGACCTGGAGGAGGCGCGTGGAGCCTAGAGACACGTGAAGAAACTGCGCTTGTCTTTTGGTCGTGGACTGGGTGACACAGATGTGGGTGAGACCCATGGGGAGGTGACAATGGCAGCTTTTATCTTTTTTTTTTTTTTTTTTTGGCAGCTTTTATCTTGATGTTGATTTTGCTCTTTTCCTTCCGGGCTTGTCCGGTTGTTTGTGACCCTTTTCTGTGGGTCCCCACTGGAAGATGCTTTAGACTTGTGGCAGGCTTTGGGGCCTTGCTCTGGGCCAATCCCGTTTGGATGGACTTTTACCCACGAGGGGACGGGTAACTTTGGGTGCTTCATTTAGAAACTAGACTCTGCATTACCTGTATTGTTTCCTAGTTTTATTAAAGTTCCTTCCCATTAAAGTGTTATATGTTTTGTGTTGATGTGGCGGATGGCAGAACCCATTTAGAATAGGCAGGTTTGCGGGGTTTGGGCTGCCCCTCCCCCTGTCCTATAGCAGATTCACTCACACTCCAGTAAGAATTACCATTAGTTACTGCATGTCATGGACCAGGCATTGTGCTTAGTGCATTCATTAATCATATTACTTTATTAATCCATAATTTCAGCATCCTGATGAGTAGGTGGTATGCCCCCACTGCATTTCTTTCCTGGTGCACCCATGGTGGACACTAAAGTTGCCTAACAATTGTGTGTTATTAAAGATGGAGACTCTGTCAGTGAAAGACGTTTGTCAAACTTAGACGTTTATGAATACACACTTACTTAGGCACATCTTGGATAAACTCTTGGGTTGAAAGTTGTCTAACTTTCTGATTTCTGAGGCCTTCTAAACAGCACCAACATGATACAATAGAGGTGCGCAGTGTGAAGAATTCACTGTTCAAAGTACTCTACTTATTTACTTTTTTATTGCAGGGACTCCTTTCTTCTTTCACTAAGGTTTCCACCTGCTGGGAAATAACAAATAAAACAATGGTGAAGCTTCCAAGGGGGTATCCTTCAGGACAAGTTGTGGCTGAAGGTGGCTGTGATGGACAGTCACAGGAAAAGGAACAGCCTCTCTCAGAAAAATACCTTTGCTGAACTCAGGTGACACTCAATGGAGAAATGATCAGTTAAACAACAGCCACAAACTTGGAGCTTGAATTACGAAGAAAAACTGCATCAAAAATAAACAGCCAAGGCAGTGGCATCTGCCCAGCCGGGCAGGCTGATGACAGCACTCTTAATGCGGCTCATGCCTGTCTGTCTGCCACTCCGCATTCTCACATTCCGTGAACGTCGCCTTCTGGCTGCCAGGACTGGGCTTTTCCACTCCTTCGGTCCAGGGCTGGGGAGGAATGGGGCTTGTCTGGATTTTCTGGTTGGTTCTCTGCGCTGCTGTAGTTCCTGTGCTTCATTTCTCCAGCCAGAAGTTGATCTAATTCACCAGTAAATCTCCATCCAGATACACATTAGCACATGAAAGGAACAACTGGCCTGGGGAAGTCAAGCCTTAGAAAACAAGAAGCACCAAGGAGCATGACCTTCAACCTATACCCTTCACCAATGTTCCTGCCTGGGTTTCTCTCCTGGCCATGTGCTTACTTGTTGATGCAGCTCTTCCTAGGTGCCAGGTGCTCTGTTATAATAGTCTCACTTTACCCTCCTAACATTTGATGAGGGCCCTGAGTCACTAAGAGTCAACAAGTGTCCCTTGTCATCCACTGGCACTTACCATTCTAAGGTAAAGGGGAGTAATGGCATCCAAAGCTATCAGGCCCTAACCCCCGCACCTATGAATGTGACTGAATATGGTTAAAAGGGCCTTGCAGATCCTCAAATTGAGGACCATTGCGTGGCAAGCTTATTCTACATAGGACCGGGTCCTCCATGCAGTCCAAGATGCAAAAGAGACTTGACACAAGCAGGGAGGCAGCAGCGTCATCGCCAAGGCTGTGGTTGGTGTGATGGGGCCACAGATCCAGGAAAGCGGACCACCACAGAAGCCAGGACACAATAGGGGCCTGTGACCTGGCCCACAGCTCATATTAGCCTGATTTCAGGCTCCAGGGCCATGAGCCATCGCGTTCTGTGGTCTGAAGCACCTGGTGTGGGGTCACTGGCACACCCGCCCTAGGAAAGGAATCCACGCAATAACAACAAAAGTTGTTTACAGGGAGCTGAACTTCTACTTCAGGACACCCCTATTTCTCTGTCTGCCCTCAGCCCCTGACCTTGATCCTGCATTCTGCTATGAAAATGACTTTTCATAGCAAGTTACAATTTATTGATCCCTTTTCAAAGGCCTTGCAGAAGCATTGACATTTTAGCTCCTTCTAGAAGGAAGAATAAAGACTGACCAAGGATGGAGGGGCCTGCACACTGGGCTGGGAGACTGGAGGTGTGCACGCAATAGCAGGGGGAATCTTGACAACGCAGGAGCTATTTTTCTCCTATTTAACAAACACATTGTTGGTCTTATGTACTAGGCGTGCTTTTAAAACAGATTCTCTCTTAATCCTCCTGACAGTATTTTACAGGATGTGGGATCATGAGAGCTAAATAATGTGTCCAGGTGAACATTTGGGGAAGCCGCGCCCTCCAGAGGACATCTGGCAGTGGCTGGCCGTCAGCGGGGGGACCAGATAAAGGGCCTCATGTGGGCGGGCCCCAGGAATGTCGTGGTGTGGACACTGCAGAGCAAGAGAAGAAATCTAGCTGGCGTGACCCCACTGAAGTCATTTTGCTGAAATAAGTCAGACATGGGATGACTTTCCTCTCTGTGTGATAGAGAAGCAAAGCAAACGCACAAACAAAAACAAGACAAACCCTTAGATTATAAGAACAGAATCGAGGGTGTCAGGAGGGGGTGAGTCAGGCAGAGGGTTGTTGTACAGTGGGGAGGAGGTGGGCACTAGACTGGGTGGTGAGCTTGTGCAGGTGTCTGCCCCTAAGTGTTCAGCTGAATGTGATAAGCCCAGATAACTGCAATTAAACATTAAGTAAAATGACCATCTATGTACATTATAAACATCTATTTATGGAGCTCCAAGAACACATTAGTTTCTTTACACATCAAGCCATAGTTACAGCCAGATCGAGAGGGAGGTGGCAGGAAACGGAAGTAGCTCTCAGGCTCTCTTGCTGCTAATAAACGGTGTCAGTAAAACCCTCGCTTTTAAAAGAGCTGATAAAATCTAATTTACTATCCAAAAAAGGCCATTTTCATAGCTGAATATAGGAGCGATTTCGGGGGGCTGAGGATAGACAGAAATAAGGGGGCTAGTGTAACAGATGGGCCCCAAAAGATGGGTGGGGCTGTGACTGATGAAAAGGGGCAATGAGGACTTGGGGGACTTTCATTAGTAGCACCTGGTGGGCACAGTGGCTCCAGGGAGAGCAGAAGGGGGAAAGCGGCCCTGGAAAATTACCTGCCGTGACAGCAACAGGCCAGGATCCACAGCCTCAGGTCCTCCCTCCACCTTCCACCCTATGTCTAGTTCACAAGCAAAATGTCGGTCTTTCTTCTTGCTGCTTCAGCCTCTATTTGCGCAGCTGTGCCCCTCAGCCCTTACTCTTCACATCTGGTGACTGTAGTTGCGCTGAGATTTTGAGGCAGCCTCTGATCAGACCGTCCAGCTCTGCATCCAGCCCTGGCCATCACTGCCTGCCCAGCCAGTGCCGCCAACATGGAAAAGCAGTGACTCAGCAGAAGAGGAGTGAAGGGCCGCAGCCTTGAGCGCAGGGACTCGGGTCTGTACCCCAGTGCAACCACCACAGGCAGGAGTGAGGACCCTCTGCCCAGAGGAGACTCTTTAGGCCTCAGAGGAGAGTGGAAGGAAAGCTAAAGTTACGTTTCATCTCTGAGAAGGGCAGGCACCTTAGCTTTCTTT